ATGTCATTAATTAATGTAGTAAAAATGTTTAGCAATTACCTTTTTAATCAATTTAAGAGTAAGTAATTAAAATGTTTAGCAAGAAAATATTCAATAAAATTAATTATCTTAATAGCTTTGCTTTGGTAGCTGTCATCTATTAAGTCGTATTTTTTTTTAATCAATTATATAAAAATGCAAGAAAATTAATGTTATTAGATGTCCATGGAAATATATAAAAATATATAAAAACTATCTATAATATGAAGTGGCTAAATTTCGGAAACTTAATTTAATGAGTTGGAGATGATTTTTTTTCTTTTTTTCTTTTTAAGAAAATTCATTTAACACAAAAAGAATTAGCGGTAATATTGACAACTCAATTACCTTTTATGTCATTAATTAAGATAGTAAAAAAAAAAATTAAGAAAGTGTTTGATTTGGTTACTTAATAGCTTACTTAATAGTAAAAATTAAGAAAGTTCAACAATATTCGACTTAGAATATATTTAATTTATAGGTCAATTTAAAAATAAGTAATTAAAGTGTCTAATGACATATTCGGTAAAATTAATTGTGCTAGTAACTCGATTGTGCTAGTAGCTGTCAGATGTTTAAGTAGCATTTTATCAAACGGTAAATGGAACAACATTTCATATTTTATTCTCTCAAATTCTAAACACTAGTATAAACGCTACACTACAAACATGTGTCAATTCGACAAAATTAATTAAACATTGCAGGGGTTAACCTTTTGTAATTATAACTATAACTATTTGTATAATCAATATTTTTATCAGTATAATATTCCCTAATATACAATATTTAAATAAATATAATATCATTATAAAAAATAACTCCATTAGTAATATGATTAGCTAGCCATTCTAACCATATTTAGTATTATAGATACCTTAGGTTACGTAACTATAACAAATTATGAAGCAATTTTTATTTATTTAATAAAATACGAAAGTATGTTTAAATTTAACCGACACAATAGAAGGCATCACCAAACTTTTTTTTTTTTTTTTTTTTTTTTTTTTTTTTTTTTTTTTTGCATATTAAAGAAGGAAATTCGAACCTGGACCGATTGTCAAATTGTACATGTATTTACCACTAAATTATGTCTTGATGTGCATCACCAACCAAATTTTTAGTATAAATAAAAAAATGAATGTTCTTATTTTTATAGCATAAAATGTAAATACCGGAGCAAAATTTATTATTTAGACAAAATTTTCCTTTCCAAGTAACGGACTTTTTGATAGAAAATTGAAAATTTATTAAATTTACGAAAACCACTTTTATGTTTATGATAATAAAAAAAGCCGTCATTTTTCTACAATCAACATTTAAGATAAACAGTTTGAATAATATTGTTTACAAATATTTGAATTCTTATTTGGCTTCAAATCAAATGTTAGGAAAAATATTGAGATAATTGCAAGTATTTCTCTTTCACTGTGACGATGTTCATAACAAGGATACATATATTATGGTTGTGTTCGGCAAATGTTATTCTTTATAGTGTTCGATAACATGACATTTAAATTAACTTTTAGAAGTTAAGATAGCGTTTTATAAAAAACTAATCTATGTAACGTTTATTTTTAGCTTTTTATGAAAAGATACTCAAACGGTTCTGAAAATAAAAAGAATTTAAACTTAAAATCTCTTCTTGTCCGCGCAAATGATAATATTAGCCAGATACAAATTTACTTGATTGATTTTGTTGTTTCTACAGTAATTATAACATTAGCCTCAAATTCTTATTTACGAACAAGGAAAAATATATATCGTTCACCTGCAAAGAAAAAGGTTCCCATCATGTTCATGAGCCTACGAAGAACTTTCTATTTTATGCTTTCCAAATTCTTCCTCGGTTTACTTTGATATTGAATTTATGTAAATTGACTGAAGAAGTGGAAAAGCCAAAAAAAAAAAAAAAAAAAAAAAAAAAGAAAAGACAAGTTTTAAAGTCTTTATCTTTATTAATTTTCCTTAAATTAATCAGTTATTTCAGGGTATAGTTACATTTTATATTTTCGTTGTCCTTCAATAGTGAATCAAGGACAATACAAACAAATTTCGACATTTGCAATCTTCATTGAACGGACGCCCCGCATTTACCATCACAATCTTTACTTGCACAAATGACTAAAACTCGGAGTCCCCACGGTTTTTCACCACCTCCTATTTCACTAGCTTCCACGGGCGACATCTGCATTTTTTTCCAACATTAAAATAAATTTATGGAGATTATTTAAGAAAGTTAAAGTTGGAATACGCATGAATAAAATTGTTGCAAAAAAACCGTAAGGACAGTTCAAGTGTAGACACACCGGAGTTCGGTAGACATTTTATGTAAGGTAAAAGGGTTGATCGTTGAAAAAAATATTTATAGGTTAGAGTAGAATCCCAAAAATTTTTATATTTACAATCTAAAGAGTTTGTTTGGATATGAAAAACTCCTCGTAACAAAATTAATTATAAAACATAAATGTAAAACACAAAAACAATAAATTCAAAATAAAATAATCCATAAGATACTAAAAGCATATATGTGAATGAGAGAGAGATACTAACAAGAAGCAATAACAAGAGAGGGCAGTAAAAAAGCTAGTTTCAATGCATAAGTTAGCCATCTCTAATTGTATGGAAATGCTACCACTGCTTACCTGGGGAGAGAATAGTAGGGGCTCCTCCTAGGGGGATTGTCAATATAACGAAGCTGTGTGACATTGATAAAGTAAGGGAAATGCGATCCAACGAATTTTAGGTTTCACTTTTAAGGTTTCTGCTTGTTATACTTAACAATAGTAATTGATTGTTATACTTAACAATAGTAATTGATTGGAAATTCGTTTTGTAATTAAAATATCTTACCTTAATTGCAAAATGATTTTGATTATGTTCGGCAATATTAATTTGTTATAGTAATTGTTAGCCATTATAATATTTATTAGTTGTGATATTAGTCATTTATTGTTTAATTAATTGCTTAACTTAAAATTACGAAAAGAATGTTCGCTATTTAATTAGTTGTATTCGGGAAAAAAACAATTGGTATGCTTGTCCAAAAAAATTAATTAATCTCTATGAAACACCTAACGTAGGAGTGTTTAACATTCCATGAAAAATTTACTCAAACCCCAAAACTTATTTAAAAAATTATGTTACCGAAAGCTATAATTAATAGAATTCCAAATTAGTAAAAGTTAGCTCAAAATCTATTGCCGAAATGTGTTTTTAAAAAATTATTGAATGTAGTTTGGTGAAATTTGTTTCTTCAATTATTGAAAATATTTGAAGATTCATTTCTAATCGAAAATTTTCACTCATTTTATTTTTCTCTAAGATTTAAAGTTATCTCAACTTAAATTAAATAGATTACCTTTATTTGAACAAGGCACATTTTGCCTTAAGTAATTAAAGTGTTTAGTAATAATATGTTCGACAAAATTAATTGTCCTAGTAACTCTGTTTTAGTAGCTGATAGCTATTAAATAGATTTCTGTAATCAATTATATGAATTGCAGGAAAATTAATATTATTGGATATAAATCCATGGAAATTTATGTGAATATATAAAAACTAGTTATTCAATCGCGAAATTTTGGAAACTTAATTTACTGAGTTGGAGATGAACTTTTTTTTTTTTTTCTTTTTAAGAAAATTCATTCAACACAAAATAATTCGCAGTAATTTTGACAACTCAATTACCTTTTATGTCATTAATTAATATAGTAAAAAAAATTAAGAAAATATCTGATTTGGTTACTTACTTTTAATATTCGACTTAAATGTATTTGTAATTTATAGGTCAATTTAAAAATAAGTAATTAAAGCGTCTAATAAGTACATATTCGACAAAATTAGTTGTTCTTAGTAGCTCAGTTTTAGTAGTAGTTAGTTGTTTAAATAGCACATCATCAAATGGTAATTGAAATAACATTTCATATTTTATTATCTCAAATTATAAACACTAGTATAAATGCTAGATTACAGACATTAAGTGCCAATTCGACAAAAATTAATTGTTTTGATCGATGTTAAGTTTTTTTGTAGTATTTTGTTATTTGATTAACTTTTTATAAAACGCTAAGAGTTAAACGTTATAGGAGTTAACCTTAACTATAACTATTTGTATAAATAGAAAATGGATAGTGCTCTTTTTAGAGCATAAAATGTAAATACTGGAGCACAATTTATTGTTTAGATAAATTTCCCTTTCCAAATAACGAACTTTTTGATAGTAAATTGAACAATTTTTAAATTTACAAAAACCATCTTTTATGTTTATGATCACAAAAAAGCCATCATTTTTCTCCAAACAACATTTAAGATAAACAGTTTGAATGATATTATTTACACAGATTTGAAATTTTATTTGTCTTCAAATTAAATATTAAGGGAAATAATAAGATAATAGCAAATATTTTTCTTTTACTGTAACAATTTTCATAACAAGAATACAAACGTATTGTCCCAATAATTATTGTATTCGGTAATAACTTTTTAAAAAACTTTTAGTATTTGGATCGCTCAAGACGCTAAATGCTACTTTTTATAGTATTTAAATTAGATTTTAGAGGTTAAGGTAATGTTTTATAAAAAGTTAACACATATAATGTTTAGTTTTTAACATTTTATGAAAAACTGCTCAAATAATTTTTCTGAAAAATAGAAAAGATTTAAACATGATATCTTTAGTTGTCCACATAAATGATAATTTCAACCAGACACAAGTTCACTTGATCGATTGCGCTTTTTTTTTTTTTTTTTTTTTTTTGTTTTTTCTATTTGGTGATTAATAACATTAGCTTCAATATTCCTTATTCAATGCATGACAAGGGAAAATTTTTTCCTATCGTTTACCTGCCCAAAGAAAAAAAATGGGGAAAGCCAAAAAAAAAAAAAGAAAAAAAAAAAAAAAGAAAGAATGAAAAGAAAAGACAAAATTTTTAAAGTCTTTTATTTTAGTTAAAAAAAAAAAAAAAAAAAAAAAAAAAAAGAGAAAAGAAAAGACAAATTTAAAGTCTTTATTTTATTAATTTCCCTGGAAACTAATCAGATTAATTTCAGGAAAGTGGTTACATTTTACTAATTGTTGGTCGGCTTTAATACACAACCACAATGAAGATATTGACATTTGCAATCTTTATTTTCACAAAAGTCACCGCATTTACCATCACAATCTTTATCTTGGCTACAATCAAATGAAATTGCAGGCTCAAGTTTTTCACCAGCTCCGAGTTCACCAGCTTCCACGTGCACATCTGTATTTTTTTTTCCAACATTAATAGATTAAATTTATGGAGATTATTTAATGAAAAACATTTATGGAGAAGGACTGCCATGGAACCCCAAAACGATTAATAGTCACATATCTAAAGAGTTTGTTTGGATATGAGAAAAATCATAGTAATAAACTTATTATAGAACAAAACACAAAATAATAAATCTAAAATAAAAGAATGAAAATAAAAATAAACAATCATAATAGTAAAATCATATATGTTGAGTGGGAGAAGAGAGATACTAACAAGAAGCAATGAACAAGAGAGCAAGCAAAAAAGCTAGCTTCAATGTTAAGTTAGCCATCTCTATAGCTGCTTGTCCAGGGGAGAGAATAGTGAATGGGCTCCTCTAGGGGATTATCGATTTATAGATGAAGCTGTGTGACTTATAAAGTAAGGAAATTTATCCAACGAATTTTAGGTTTTCATTTTCATGTTCCTGCTTTTTATACTTAACAATAGTAATTGATTAGAGATTCATTTTGTAATTAAAATATCTTGCCTTACTTACAATATGATTTCGGGTCTATTTGGCAATATTAATTGTTCTATAAGCTGTTACTTGTTTGGCAAAATTAATGTTATTGGATATCCATGGAAATCTATGTGGTGAAATTTTAGAACCTTAATTTACTGAGTTGGAGATAAACTTTTTTTTTTCTTTTTAAGAAAATTCAATTAACAAAATAATTAGCAGTGATATTGACAACTCAATTACCTGTTATGTTATTCATTAACATACGAAAAAAATTAAGAAAGTATTTGATTTGGTTACTTACTTTGAACTTTCGACTTAAAATGTATTTTTAATCAATTTAAAAATAAGTAATTAAAGTGTTTAGGAAGGACATGTTCGATAAAAATAATTTTCCTAATAATAACTTTATTTTAATAGTTGTCAACTGCTTTTCGCAATCAATTGTATAGAATTGCAAGAAAATTAATGTTATTTGATATCCATGGAAATCCTTATGGATATATAAAAACTAGCTATTCAATGATGTGGCGGAATTTTAGAAACTTAATTTTCTGAGCTCGAGATAACTTGTTTTTTGCTTTTTAAGAAAATTCATTTAATACAAAATAATTAGCAGTGATATCGACAACTCAATTACCTTTTATGTCATTAATTAATATAGTAAAAAAATTATGAAAGTGTTTGATTTGGTAACTTATTTTCAACTTTCGACCTAAAATGTATTTTTAATCAATTTAAGCATAAGTAATTAAAATATTTAGCAAGAAAATATTCAACAAAATTAATTGTTCTAATAGCTTTGTTTTTATAGTTGTCATCTGTTAAGTAGTATTTTTGTAATCAATTATATAAAATTGCAAGAAAATTAATGTTATTGGATATCCATGGAAATCTATATGAATATATAAAAACTACCTATTCAATGATGTGGCAAAATTTTGGAAACTTAATTTACTGAGTTGGAGATAAGCTTTTTTTTATCTTTTTAAGGAAATTCATTTAATAAAAAATATTAACTCAAGTACCTTTTATGTCATTAATTAATATATTAAACGAAATTAAGAAAGTGTTTGATTTGGTTACTTACTTTCAATATTCGACTTAATTAAAATGTATTTGTAGTTTATAGGTTAATTTAAAAATAAATAATTAAAATGTTTAATAAGAATATATTCTGCAAAATTAGTTGTCCTTTTTAGTAGATGTCATAATTCATTTTCTCAAATTCTAAATGCTAGTATGAACGCTACTCATCAAATTACACTACAAACACAACATGCATGTTCGGCAGAATTAGCGTTGTTCGGTTTTGAGTAGCTAACCTTTCGTAATCATAACTGTACCTATTTGTATAATCAAAATTTTTATTAGTATAACAATCCCTAATATACAATATTTAAATAAATACAATACTGTTATAACAAATAACTCCAATAGTAATAAATATAGCTAACCATTCTAACTGTATTTAGTATG